CAAGTTTCCATAAAACACCCTTAAACATCTACACCCACTTCCTCTGTAATTTTAAGATAAATATATAGTTGGGTTGGGGCCTTTTTTTTTGGGGTGGGGGGGGGGGATGTATCCTAACTTATCTTCTGAAAAGACAAACATGCCTTTCTATCTCAAGTGATCTTGATTTGAACGGTTTGGGAAAATATTTTTTGAATAAGTCGTTAATTATGGAATTGGTTTTTTAATAATAAAATTATTTTTCTTATTTTCATTGCCAGTGAGGTGTTACTGCATTTATTAGAAGTCACTATTACGGTCCCGTAGCTTCTAACTTTTTGTTCTTGACCTCCTTACATGGTTTTTCTGAAAACAAGAAAACTAAAAAGAGGCAGGTGTTAAAAAGTTAATTTTCTCCTGTATTATTTTATATAATGTCAGAATTTATAAGGCAATGAGTATCTTGGAGTATTAAGAAATTTTGATCAACTTACAGTTGATAAATTATTCTTAGTATCATGATGGATTGTTGGTTTGATGTAGCTTTATTTTTTATAGAAAGATTTTTTTCATCAGTGTTGACTTCTTTTACCTACTGATAAAATATTATCCCCGTCATCATCAACTGTGCAACGTAATACAAAATCTATTCATAGGTGGTAGAAGCATTTGCCAAGTATGGTCACTTGAATCCCATATAACACAATTATATTTTTATATAAATTTCTTGATGCAAAATGTTTGTCTACAGGTTGTTCAAAAGGAAAGAGAAGAAAAACTTGCACAAATTCTGAAGATCGACTAAATCAATATGTCCAAGGAAACAAAGAGGATTTTGTTAATCATGCAAAAGCTGAGGTATCAAGGCTCTCTAATGCAGGTACTATTTCCTGTTCTCTGAAAATTGGAAATCATTTTTCACCTTGTTGGATGAATTCCTACATGTAAACAATTAAACATCTTCATGATTCTTCACCGCTCATTTTAATTGGCCGTCTGAAATGATTGCATTAATGACAAAAGTGAACAGTCATCAACACCAAATTGAAGATTAAACTTAAGTGCTGTATATTCTTAAATATTAATCTGTTTTTCTTGTTGATATCAGTTTAATCTTGCATTTAGGTTCCAATTTTAATTTGCCTGGAGGTGGAAAATTATAAAATTCGATTATTTAATCTAGTTTGTGATTTTTTCAAATGACTTTCCAGTTTGGAAAACCCTTATATGCAATACACATGGGGCAATTTTGGTGCCATTCAGTGTAAACTTGGTCACTATCGGGGTTCTTTGATAAAAGTTTCTAAATTGGTGATTGAAAATGGATGCCAAAGCCTGCTCACAAATTTTAATTTAGGATAGGTATATCTGCTTTGCATGTCTTCAAACTCGTTTTTCCTCATTATCTTTGTTTTTGTTGGATCTTTGATTGTAGAATTGATTTGCAGTACTGACTGATTTGCTGTACATGTTTTACAGCTTATGGTGTTGATATGTTGAATACAATTGGTTATATATGTAAGACAAGCAGCAAAAGAGCTTGGGAAGAAAGCAATATACTTGGGTGTGCCATTTGTTGCTGAGTGGTTCAGAGTCAAAGGCCATTCTATTAAATCCCAATTAACAGCAGCAACAGGTGAGTAAAGTGGCTAACTTTGATGATTAGTACACAATGATCATGTTTTGTTGATAACCCTTTGATTTTGTACTGCTGTTTGATCAATGATGTGTCTTTTATTCAATCCTTAACAAGGATAAAATCAATTGCACTGTTAATGTTTCTTGTAAATAAGACTTTTTGTGGAAAGAGCTGTTGCGCTCAATCATTTTTTAGCCTTCTTGGTTTAGGTGCAATTGCTTTGCTTCAGCTTCAGGAGGATATGAAGAAGCAGCTTAATGAAGAAGGAAACTACACTGAGGAGGAGCTTGAAGAGTACATGCAATCTAACAAGAAGCTGATGATTGATTCTTTATGGAAGCTTAATGTAGCTGACATAGAATCTACTCTTTCTAGTGTTTGTCAAATGGTTGTTTCACTTGTCTCTTCTTTTATGGCTATTAGATGACACTGATTTAGTTATTTGTTGTATATTCCTAGTAATCTGTCAAACTTCTGTTTTAGGTTCTCCAAGATGGCAATTGCAGAAGGGAAGAGCTTCGAGCACGAGCGAAAGGGTTGAAAACTCTTGGTAAAATCTTCCAGGTATGCATTTCTTTTCCCATTTCTATTGCTTTTTCCCTTTCTTAATTTGAAATCTTCATGAAAATGCTATGGTATGGTGTAGAGGGCCAAGTCTGCCAATGGAAGTGAGAGTGAACCTGTTGTAGGCAGTAGTGGTGTACGTACATTGGATGGAAATGAACCAAGCCTTGACGGCAGTTCTCCTAATGCATCATCAATGTCTTTAAATCAGGAAGAGTTATCTCGTTCTACATTTGCATCACAGGTATGATTATTATGCCGGTCAATAAACTCTTTGTTTTATCCATGTGAATATGGGCCCTTATGTGCTGATGGCATTATAACTATTCTAGGTTAGCGTTACCTACCTGCTATATAAGCAGGCTAGCAAAACTATTTTAATTTCATAGTTTTTGGTTACTTTGGTTATGTTTAGAAAATCTGGAATTGATCTTGAGATATGCAGATGAGATCTTGAAGAACTTTCATCTGATATTATCATGTGGTGTGTGTGAGAGTAATGTTTATATTTTTCTTCACATGACCTTGAAATTTTTAACTCAAAATTCTGAACCAAAGTAAATTTAAAGCACTACATTAGATGTAGTGTCTGGGTTCTTATGTTCAAAACAGACAGATTGAAATTATTTTATTTCCAGAAAGACCCTGAATGTGCCACTTTTTCGTTTGGTAGGAGATGGGAAATGAAGGTGAATGCTAGAGAATCACAAATGTTCTTTCTCACCCATGTCACTACTGTTCTTACGTGGCTTAACTACTTTTTTGAAAAAGTATTATTTTTCTGACTATTTAAAGCATTGAAATTGTAGAGTCCCTACGTGGAAGCCCCCAACTTCGTGGATGCCCAGTTCACCTTCAACTTTCCAAGACCAACAGCACCACCTGGTGCACAAAGGACATTCTTGAATTAGCCGAGGTTGAGATGGTTCATCTCTAAATGTGCATGTTTTGTATTCGTGGATGCAGCTATCACAGGTATTTGTGAATGTCATGTCATTTGTGTACGTATACCTGTCTCTGGGTGGTCTGTATGCATAGCGTGAAAGAATGATGGCTGTAGAATATTGTTGTTTGCATTTCACAGGTTGGCTGAGATATTACCTTCTTGCCTGCCTTTTTTTAGTAGTTCTTTTGCATTTGTTGTGTTGTGGTTTTAGAATGTAAATTAGTAATACACACACCCCTTTGCCTCCGTTTCTTTGTTTGAAATGAAGTAATTGAATTCAGATATTGAATACACTGTATACAATGATAGTACTAGCAACATTATTCATGCAATAGCGTAGGGTGAAGGGGAAGTTCTACAGTGCGGCACCCTTAATATACAATTAAAAAAAGGTGTTACCGGTTTTATTATTATTTAAATAACAAAACCGGTAGAAAAAATAACAAAATCGGTAGAAATAATAATGTTTCTAGTAATTTTTTACCGGTTTTATTATTTAAATAATAACAAAACCGGTAACGTCTTTTTTTATCCATATATTAAGGTTGTTGCACGTGATCATTTCCTAGGGTGAAGATATATCATAAAATGATTTTGTATTTTTTTTTCTTCAATTTTCTTTCTTTTGCTTAAGTGAGCTTTTATTTATATATCTAATTAAGTATATGAGAATATTATTATTTTTTGTTTAATTAAGTCTTAAAAGTTCTTTTATCTAACCATTTTAACATCGTTCTCATGTTAATATTTCATCTAATGATGGCTTTGTATATTTCTTGTTAAAATCGTTCTCATATTTATATATTTCTTGTGTATTTATATTTATTTTATTTCTTTATCTAATGATGACCTTTAAGATAATGAATGAAAAAGTTCATGAGCAACAAGTAGGTTACCAGAAATTTGTAAAACACATTAATTTTAGAAGTGCATAATGGCATGATCCCCTTAAGGTGGTTAACAATAGTTTTAAATGCAATCTTAAAAATAACCGTCAATGGCTAATCGATTTAAAAAAAATTATTAATCACGGGCATTAGCTCTTTGGGATCAACATAATGACCCCAAAAGGTTCAAAAGAAAGAAATAGTTGAAAAGTAAAACGCAATCCATACTCTCTTAGAGGTTAAGTCAGGTCGGCTCTGGGTAATTTTTGGCCCGAGACGAAATAAAAGAAATGAACTTTTATTTATGTTCTTTATTTTTTGGCCCATAATTAAATAAAAGAAATGAATCCCTATTTATGTGATATTAACATGCATAGTTTAGATATTATTATAGAAAATATTATGGGCCCTAGGCGGGCGCCCCTCTTGCTCCGACCCAGGGCCGACCCTGGTTAAGTGGTGATGGTCCGATTGATGAAATATTGAAACCTTTAATGAAGCTCATCTATATTTATTTAATATATATCAATGTATTGAATTCGATTCATGATGGTTGTTAGGAATTCGTAAATGAGAAGAGAATCAAAAGCAAGATCAATATAAATGAGATATATATAAGAAATAAGATTTAATATGATTCGATTTTATTTTATCTCTATAAATAAAAGAAACAATAATCCAATATAGAGATTACAAAGAGTTTTTTTGTTTCATATATCTCAAAATTTGATATATATACTAATGTATACCAAAAATACTCTTTCAATATCTTATAAAACTATCTTTATTACCTAAACCTTAAAAATTGCAAATAATTTCTCTTCAAAATAATTTGAAAGATTAAGACTCTATTTATGAAGCTAAATGTTTGGTCACTGAAAATTACATAAATAAATTATAAATATTAAATTAAAAATTAATTAGTAGAAAAAACAAGGTAAATAGACGTGAAACCATCCTGAATATAATCTACTTGATGTGAAGATTAAACATGTTCAACTTGAACTTGATTCAAGTACATGGCTTTGATCTTCTTCAACCTGGCAACAACTTCTTCAATATCAATCCTCTCCTCTGCTAAGTCGGCCGAACATTGCAGGGCTAATTGCAGGACGGAAGATACGCAATCCTTTACCGCTAATCCTTCTCTATCTACCGTATTTAGCAAATTAGTGTCCATAACATGATCTACTTCAAACGGTAATGATTCTTTCACCCAACATTTTAGGCTCATTTCTTCGGCAAACATGTCGTTTGTTGGTTTCTTTCCGGTGAAAGTTTCCATAACAAGAATCCCGAAACTATACACATCACATTTGGTTGAAACAATTCCTTCTGAACCGTATTCTGTGTAACAAACGAAATCATCTGAAAAAATAATTTCAAGGCAAATGCATGTCTATGTGATCGTATATGAGTAGAAATACTAATTTGCATTACCTGGTGACATATAACCTATAGTTGCTAGTGTCTTGGTTTGTGTCATTAAGTCTTCTTCACCCAAGAGTTTTGCAATGCCAAAATCACCCAGGTGTGCGACCATGCTTTTGTCCAGGAGGATATTGTTTGGCTTTAAATCGCAGTGAACGACCGGTGGGGTGTGATTGTGGTGGAGATATTCCAGTGCCGATGCGATATCGATCATTATGTTCAGCCTTTTCGAAATATCCAGATCATGGTTGTGAGAATAAAGCCACTTCTCCAAGCTTCCATTGGGCATGAACTCGAGTACCAAAGCTTTGAATTCGATGTTAGAGCAACTACTGATGATTTTAACCAAATTTCGATGACGGATGTTGCGAAGTACCTCGCACTCGACATCGAAGCTTTTAAGGGCTCTATCTTGATTTGTATCGAAGACTTTTACCGCAATGGTCATCCCGGTTGGGAGAGTCCCTTGGTATACTGACCCAAAACTCCCTGCTCCTAGTAAATTGCTTTCGGAAAATCCATCGGTGGCTTCATGGAGATCATGGTAAGAAACCCTTCTCCATTCAGCCAATGGTAGCAAATCATCGTGCACTTCATCTTTCAAACTTCGACATCGTAAAAGGACAATGACCATGGTCGATATTAATATCACCGAGCCGGTTGCAGGTAGGATATATAATAAAAGCTTGGAACTCCCGGACCTTCTAGAGGGATCATCAGTTCTGCAGAGTGGGACTTGAAACTGTGGTGAACCACACAACTCTTCATTGCCTATGAATGATCGGCTTGAGTAGTTCTGCAACGGCCCTCCGTTCGGAATTTCCCCTGTGAGTCTATTGAAAGAGACATTCAAATATTTGAGATTTCGTAGATTCTCTAACGACTTCGGGATCGATCCTGAGAGGTTGTTTCTCGACAAATCCAAGTACTCCAAACTTGTCAACTCATAGAAAGACTGAGGAACAGAGCCCTGTAACATGTTACCAGATAAGGAGAGATGAGTTAGGTGCATGAGACCAGCAATGCTGCTCGGGATAGCACCGGAGAACCGATTATCAGACAAATTCAAATTGGTCACAGACTTCCAGTTCCCAATATCAACCGGGAGAGAACCAGTTAGGGAATTTGAAGATAACTCCAGGAACAAGATACCATTAAGTCTCGCCAAGGTCGACGGAATCGAAGTAAACTTATTTGAGCCTAAGAACAGATTTCTCAGAGAAACAACATCACCTAAGCATGCTGGAATCGGTCCAGATAGTTCATTATCCGTGAGAGTCAAGTAAGCCAAACTCCGCAAATGACATAACTCGGACGGGATCGATCCGTGTAGCTTATTACTCCCAAGGCTAACATTTTGAAGGTCACTCAAATTCCCAAGTGTTGCAGGCATTGTTCCAGTAAACTCATTGTGATCAAGCCCCAACCAAAACAGCCGCCTTAACTTTCCGATTTCACTTGGGATCCGGCCCTTAATGCTGCAATGAGAAGCATAGAAAAGGGTTACAGAAGCAGATAAATTCCCCACAGAAACCGGAAGTTCACCGCTGATCAAAGGATTATCATCAAATATCACAACTTGCAAGTCTTTACAGTTTGTCAACGATGAGAGAAAGCTCAATTCAGGGTCGCTACTTAAATTGTTATGTCCTACGTCGAAGTGTTGCAGATCTTTTAGATTGCCAAACGTGCTTGGAACAAGCCCGGAAAAGGAATTGTTCGTTAGCTGAAGATAAATAAGTTTAGAGGCATTGGAGATGGAACTTGGGATCGGTCCAATGAGTTCATTTATCTCAAGATAAAGCCCTTCGAGTTTCGGAAGTCCATGACCCGTAACTGGTGGAAGCTGGCCGGAGAGTTGATTGAAACCAAGCCAAATAACTCTTGTAGTAGACATGTTAAAGATCGAAGGAGGGATGAAACCAGTGAAATTATTATGTCCCAAAAATAAGATTTCTAGATTCTCTAGGTTTCCAAACTGAAATGGAAGTGTACCTGCCATAATGAGTAAGCTGTTAAGACTTAAACACGATATCTGGTGTTAACAAAGACCTAAATGAAACAAGGCCGTCAATGAACTAACTTATTAAGTTTAATAAATGAGTATAACTAAAAAATTTATCTTCATTTAATAAATGAATTAATATAAAGAAGTTTCTGTTCAATTATGATCACAAACAATCTCATTTGAAAAACTCGTTTATCATGTTCTCCTTTTACTTTAATTTTTTTATATTTTAAATATCGGTGAAGATAGAGACTAAATTGAGTATAATATGAACTTTAGAATTTAAACTGGTAAAGTTTAAAGAGCCTAAGAATTAATGGTATAATTTCATCATTTTAGTAAATATGTTTAAATGTTGAGCAACACATTCACAACCGTTAAATAACTAACAAGAGTTTTTTTTTTTAAAAAATAAACCAACATCGACGTAAACTTATTCCTCCAAACATACCCCTACAAAGGAAACCATTTACAGCTATAGTATACCTGACAAGCTATTATAAGAAAAGTCAAGGGAACTCAGAAATGTCAAGTTCCCAATACTTGAAGGCACAGGCCCTGTTAAGTTGTTCCATGAAAAGCTAAGCATCTCTAAGTTCAGAAGATCACCGATCGTCCCAGGGATTTGACCTACAAAAGAATACCTGTGGGGGTAAGAAAAAGAACAGCAGAAACATGTCTTGAAACATAAACTGTGGAAAATGGAACCTGAAAGCAGGTTACTTTCCAAAGACAATATCTTCAAGGTGGAAATGTTTCCAAACCCGACAGGAATCCGGCCTTGCAGATTGTTTCTGTTCAAATTCAAAATCTCCAGCTTTGGTAAATAGCACAGAGACGATGGGATTAAACCCGTGAAGTTGTTTCCAAATAGATACAAGGTTCGAAGACGGGTGAAGGAAGAACCAAACCACGACGGGACTTCCCCACTGATTTGGTTGTTCCCCAAGTTCATGTGGCTCAACCGACGCAGATTAGCCAATTGGTTGGGTAATGAGCCATGGAAACTGTTGTTAAGAATGGTGAGGCTTGACAAGAAAGAAAGATTTCCCAGGTCCGGTGGGATGGTCCCTACCAGAGCCATGCCTGTGAGATTTAAAGCCGTGATTCTAACGTTCATGGATCCGCAGGTGACGCCGATCCAACTGCAGACCGGCGTGGTGATGGACCAGTTGGTTGATAAGAGGTTTCGAGGGTCGGAAGTTATACGAGATTTGAGTACGAGAAGAGCAGACTGATCTGTGGTGATGTTGGGTGATTGGGTTGATGAAGAAGAAACAAAATATGGAAACAAAATCAGAGCAACAAGAGGGAGCATGGAGCGAGTATTTGTCATTTGATGAAATGATCAGCAAAATGAACCAGCCTTTCTTTTCCTGAGAATTTAAGTTGCATGTATCTGTTAGAATGTGGATTGGATTTCCAGGCTTTCAGATTTGTCAAATTGGAAGACATCGAATGTCAGAGATGACTGCCCCCAATGGGACCGATTTTCGCAAGTTGTGCAAATTGCCAATGTGATGATTTTGTTTTGATCCCTAAATTAACAAGGTATCCATAATTTGATCCTTCAATGCTCAGCTATAAATAGTCGAATCATTTGCCATTGAAAACCACCCCAAAAATCATTTCAGCATTTATAATATTATGAAAATAATAAAGTTTTATCATCCGCTATAATAATAATTACTGAAATGTAAAAAAAATATCCTTTATTTTTTTTTATTAATCTAAGGTACAAGGTAGTATTTTTTTTTTATAAAAAAATAACATTTGATAGTAAAAATTTATCACCCTTGTAGTTATTAGTGTTCAAATTTAAGATCTTTTTAGAGATAACAGACATCATTTTGACCACTGAAGTAGCTTGGTTAGTACGAAAATATGCTTTATTAAACCTCAATTCAATATGTTATCTTTATTATTTATTTATTTCGTTCAATATGGTATTTAAATATTTAATAGTATAACTAGTTTATCCGTTATGCATTTAAGTAATTTTCATTTTGATTGAGTTTTAAAATTATATTCGTGTGAAAAATAATTTAATTTTTCTAACTGATACTTGATGTTTTAGCGATATTTGTGATTCATCTTTTTTATACTGAGAATTTATTTGATATATTGTTCTTAAATTATATTTCTTATTTCAGGATCTATTATGTAATAATGAATATTGTTTATTTACGTCGAAATGATATCAAAATTTGGATAAAACGAATCATCAAACACTTCGTCCATACAAATGAGGTGGAGGATGGTAAATGTAAATTTCTGAATAAAATTACTTGATGAATCTGATCATTTTGATATGAGATGTCGTAGATATTTTTTTCCTATGAGATCTAGACATCATCATTAAGAGAAAATAATCCACAAATGACGAAGCGACTAAAACAATAATATTTTGTGAATCAGGTGCCACAATCATAAGGCAAAGAACCCTCCTGCAGTGCACCAGAAAAACCACCTTGGCTTGAATCAATATAGCTGGGATATCAGCACAATCCCGCAGATCGTGCATACAGTTTCCTCATGAACACCACACATCGGAATCGGACGTGTCCATTACTCAAATTAGCCGACCACCAAAAGGAATATTAGCTTACTCTTTCTCTGGTTTGGGGTTGTAGCCATTTGAGCAAAGTAGTATATTCTGCCGACATTCATGGTTGTTTTGCCAGCATGGTTACTGCTGCTACATACTGAAGAAGTTTGATTAGGACCACGCAAAGGATGGGTTTTGGCTGACCCTCTCTCGTCGATCGTACCTTGTTAGATTCTTTGACAAGTTTTGCCATCTTAGAAACATTGGCATGATTATCAGACGCCAAACCACTCATGTCATGAAGTTTAATATTTTTGACAAATCAGCTTTGTCACAGCGATATCTGATGAAGAGAAAATCCAAAGATTGCCAAGAACAGCAGAAACATGGAAAAATAGGTAGAAGAAAGGATTAGTGAAATTCAGGGAGAAAAAATTAGAGAGACAAACAAAAAGAACATTGCTGGGTTGATCACAGAGTGAGAATAGAAAGTCCGCATAAAAATAGAAATGGAGATGCGGGGTATCGATCCCCGTACCTCTCGCATGCTAAGCGAGCGCTCTACCATCTGAGCTACATCCACATTGATGATGGTTTAAAGCGTTTTTTTTATTAATTATAAATATAAATCAACATCAACTTAAATCCTTGTTTTCACAATTTTGGCCTGGCTTGGTATCATGGGTTCAGGAGAAGGTGGTCGAATAAATAAGAGTTGTTCAATATTACTAATAATTAAAAGTTATTCAATATTTGTGTCTGTCACATATCCTAATATACACGAGTACGGTCCAAAGACTCACTAAATCCATAGAAAATGTAGGGAAAAATAAATATACACTCACATCCAAATCTGAATAACATAGCTGCTGGGTAAAGAGGGAGATTTGGTAGAAAGAGAATAATAACCAGGATATCTGATGACATTTCTGTTAGTTTACTCTTTCTGGTTTGGGCAATTTGTATATTCTGCTGACATTCTTGGTTGTTTTGCCAGCTTGATTACTGCTAAATACTGAAGAAGTCTGATTAGGACCATGTAAAGGCTGGATTTTGGCTAACCCTCTCTCGTCCATCGTGTCATATTAAATTCTGTGACAAGTTTTGCCATTTTAGAAACATTGGCATGATTATCAGACGCCAATCCACTTGTGCAGTTGAGTATTTTTTGGCAATCAGCTTTTTAAAAGTGATATCTAATGAAGAGCAAATCCAAAGATTGTCAAGAACAACAGAAAATGGCAGAAAATGGGAAAAAAAGGTAGAAGAAAGGATCAGTGAAGTTCAAGGAGAAGAAATAAGAGAGACAGACAAAAAAAAATTGTTGGATTGATCATAGAGTTTGAGCAATATTTGTAAAAAAAAAATCAGTGAATTTAAATCAACCTAATCCTTGTTGGTCAGGTTTGGTATCATGGCTTCAGGACAAGGTGAAGGAACAATTAAGAGTTGTTCAATATTTCCAAAGTTGGTTCCCGCAGGGTAAGGTAGAAATTGAACAACATTTATGTTTGCTCAAGAAATAAAAGTTGAATAAGGAGAATAAAAATGTTAAAATTTCGGTCATAAATTTAGTTTGATCTAATATAATCGAGAAATTGTATAAACTTTTACACCAGTGAATGTAGATCTCTCCCCTCTGTATAAACATATTGTGGGGGTGGCATGACTGAAATATGAGGTGTCAGTTTGCCAAAAAAATGCTTACAGAAACAACAACGGATACTGGTTGATGAGAGAGAGAAAAGGGTTTGCCATTTTCAGTTAATAACACGGCACCTTTCTCTATCAAGAACCAATAGGTAAGGAAATAGAGTGGCTGCATGTGGTCCATAATATTTACAAAATATTGCACTCACTCGATTTTGTAATTACCCAAATGACTAAAATTCCTTGAGAGTTTTTGAATTTCTGTAAATAATGAGGAACAGTGATCCTCCTAACCTAGTGATGCGATTCCTGGAATCTTAAGTGTGTGAAGTAGTTTATGCATACACACCACCAAAAGAATTCTTAGATTAGTAAACAGCAACCTCAATCGATGATTGACAATCTTTAGCGGACTGAAAAATCTTCAACAAAACAAAATGCCTTTGCAAGAATGTCCTCTGCCTGCAAAAGACGATGTCATAGATGGTTACATCTCGAATTACTGGCCGGTAACTCTTACAAAACTCACATTGGATGCGAGGAAGGTGTTAATAACTAGTCGATGGAACTTACTTCTGCAATGCCTTTTTTATATTCATGCAATATTGATCTTAAAATACCAAGAGATCTCAAGGCATCTAGAGTAGTACTGCAAATATCTTTGGAAGCTATCGGAATCATGCAATCTATCGAGCAATGAACACATAGAAGGTAAAACATAAATGCTTCTCTGCAGCTCGACAGTATATGTTGCAACATAATTCTAAATGAATGAGAGAAGTACACCTTAGAATCAAAGATGATTAATCCTAATGAGATACTTATAAAAATAACAAGATTCCGAATATATATATAATCATGAACCACAAAAGCTTAAGTACAGATTAACTGTGTACCTTCTGAGATCAATCCAAGCTTTTTTAACTTCTTCACTCCTAGATGAAAAGTTGCAATAGGAACCACATTTCAAACAATACCCAGGATCAATATGGAGGGAGCTATGTGCTTGATCAAGAGATATGTGAGCCACTTTCTTGACGTCAGTATCATCTGACTCGTATACCTGGAGATAGAATGACAAAGTTACAAGTTCTATCTGATTAACTCTGCAAAACCAACAAAATAATACCCCATAAAGAGCTGATAAACTACATAGTAATATTCACAAAAGCAAGACGTGCTAGTTCAGTTCTTACAAAAAGTGCATAAACTAATTAAGTAAAATTCATTCTGCCAGCATTATTCATCTTTTATTGGAACTGATTGAATTTTAATTAGAATTTCTCTTAACTATTCATAAATAGGAATTTTAAACATATTTTATTAAAAATTTAGCATAAATTCACCAGTTGAAAATCTCGTGGTGGAGTAGCTAGTCAGTAGTCATTCTTCTACTGTATAGGTAATACTTACTAAATTGCAACAAGAAAAAATGAAGTACCTGCAAATGGGACTCTGTAACATCCGCAATACCGGGTTAGTGACCAAATTGTAAAGTTTCAGAATTTGGTGACTAAAGTAGAAGAATGAAGGAATTCAATGATTATTTGAATATATATTGAAGGTTATTTGGTAATTATTAAAGGAAATTAAGGGTATTATGGTCATTTGACCAGAAGGATTTTTATATTTTTTTTAAGGTAATATAAACGTGGGATGTGTGAGAACCATCCAGAGTGCTCTTCTCCTTTCTTCTTCTTCATACGTGGGGGAGCAAGGCAAAGGTAAGTTTAATTTCAGTTGGTTAATTCTTGAGTTTTAAGCTTAGTTTTGATTCTTTGGGTATTAAATAAGCTTAAGGAAAGCTTATATGGGATTTAAACAATAAGATAAAGGAATTATGAAGGAATTTGCCATATGAGTTTTAAGATGAAATTTTGATATGGTATGGTTGTTGAAGTTTTATGGATGAATTTGACTTGTCATCAATCTAATTAAGAAGTATGAAGTGTTAGAATGGGAATTAGAACACATTGAAATTTGATATGATTTTGAATCTTATATGGATGATAGGATTTTGAGGTTTAAGATGAAATAAATGATATAGATTGGTTTAAGTATGTGTACTAGAGTTAAGAATGAAAAGGGAATGATATATGAAGTGTTTGAGTGGAAATGAAGTAATTTTCGGGTTGAAAATATGATTTCTGGGCAAGGGGAATCGGTACCCATTCAAGGGGAACCGATACCCTTCAAACGACAGAATTCCAGAATGTCTTGAGGGAATTGATACCCCCATGGTAGGGAACCGATTCCCCCTAAAGAAAAATGTTAATATGGTTTAATAAGTTCGTTTAAGTTGCTAGTATCCAATTACAAGGTGTAGGTATCTAATGATTGCCTCAAAATGTACATGTATGTAGATTCTATGCATAAAGCAACTCCGAACGTTTGGCAAGTAAGATCGATCAAGGAAAAATAACAGATATTGACTAGTGAGGCCAGGTGAGTGCATATTCAATAGTATATGATGTGCGATGGGAATAAGACTTGTGATGAGTCTATTTCCTGAAGTGTTACACATGAATGCATGATAAAGGCATGAGTTGAATATGCATGTATGTATGCTTGATTATATGGATTGATCTGTTCTTTTATGTGTTAGATGATAAAGTATAAGTAATTACATAAGAAAGGTTATGAATTATGAGATAAACTATGTGATCATAGTAAAATATAATTATATTATATGATAAGTGAAATAAGCTAGATGGGAAAGATTCATATGTTTAAATAAAAACTATAAACACATGGGTTGTAGGATAGAATTTATGAAGTATATGAGAAGATTATAGATGTTATATGAAATTGAATTAAGTAAACAGATTAGATATACCTAAAGAAATAATAGAAGTGAGATGTTTATAAGTCTGCCCTAGATGATAGAATATGAATTATAAGAGTGCTATATGATTTATATTAGGATAAATCTGAGGATATATATATATAGATAAATATGAAATGAAATGAAATGAGTTATATGAATACATAATTATGTGAAGAAATGGTGGATTACCTGAACATGTGAATATATTGTCTAAGAGAAGGCATAAGATTAAGATATAAGCAATGTGACTATAAGTATATATGTGCTCTAAGTGATATTGACTTAGGTATTTCTATTATAATGTTACATAATATGTTATGTATGATAAATGAATTATGTGATGGTATAAGAAATGATATGAAATATATATATGTGAAAACAAGTATATGTTATGAGATAAGACCTATGACTATAAGCTACGTGAAGTGTTCTAGGTGTTTTATATATTATATGAAGTATGATCTTATATGAACAAGATATAAGTATGGTTATATGAATAAAGGTGATTGGGTGAGAATGATAATTATATGAAAACATGATATAGGTGACATGTGAATTATATGGAAATGATCTACGTGTAAGTGAACTACGTGACTATGTGATAATATGAAAAGAAGCTATGTGATACGTGATATGTGAAAGTGAATTACAAGTTTATGTGAATATTTGAAATGAAATAATGATAACGCCCATGTTATGTGTCATGAGAGCTAGGGGTATAGTTGGCATGCCAAGAGTCGAGGGTTTACCTATATTCTACGGAACATATGGACAGTTTTACCTATGTCTTTCGAGACATATGGACAGTATACCTATGTTCTAAGGAACATATGGACAGTTTACCGAGGATCTTTATGACCTCTGGATAGTTACAGGGATCTGTGTGACCTCTGGATAGGTCCTTCGGGACATTTATGAGCTGTGGTGACAGCATAGTGGTTGCACAACCTCAATAGACTCACATATCTACAGTTCTCACAGGTGCACATGGGCTAATAAGAGAGATAACATGGAATGTAATGTATAAGAATATGTGATGTATATACTTATGGTGATATGTCATGTGTTGCTTGAATTAATGATGTTGATAAAGATAATAATATACATGGGCAATGCAATTGGAAGACAAACGAAAAGTGAAAGTAATACAAGAAGATATGTTGCGTGTGTGTATGACATGATTATATATATTGTTATCATGCAATAGATACATGCATATTGAAATGTCATGATTCAATGGTATGAATGCACGTTCATGAATTATTGTTATATGTTTAATTATTGCCTCACTAAGTCAACGACTTAGCGTGTGATTGTTTCACACGTAGGTTTCGAGAAGAATAAAGAGTAATGCGGAGCAAGACAGGTCAGTTCTCCTTACCAAATGTCAGATCAGAAAATGTATGTACTGTTTAAGAGTGTAGTTGGCATGTAGTCTAAAGATATAATGGTATGAACTCTGATATCTGTTGTAAACGTTTTGAAGTAATTTAAATGTTATCAAAGTTTTAAATTACTCACTATTTTATACGAATAAATGTTTGAAAAGTCAATGTGACACTTCGGACTCGTATCCGGGTCGGATACGGGTTGGGGGTGTTACAGACTCATTGCTGATTGTTTCTAGAATGTTAGGTTTCTTCTTCTCACAGTTAGCCACAAGATTATCCAAAACCACTCCAGAACAATTTGGATTAACGCAACAAAATCCACTAACTACATGATCAGATACATTCACTTTGAACAACCACGACACCAACACCGAAAAAGTACTCTTCTTCAAGAAATTAAGGCGTTCTTTGCAGTCCCATTGCCCAACCTGTATAATAGGAACTTTAAATCATTCACGGGAAGCCTTGCCTCATCCGATAGTAATAAGGCTCCAGGCCCGGATGGCTTAAATATGAGATTCTTCAAGAGTTGGCAGTCAATCAAGGTAGACATCTTAAGGTTTCAAGGATGTCTATAAGGGGAGAAGGTGGGAGGAAGGCGTCAATCACTCCTTTATCACTTTAATTCCGAAGACAAGTAATCCGGAAAATGAGAGGTCTATCGTCCGAAAGCCTAGTTGCAGGGCTGTAAAAGATTCTGTCGAAAGTTCTGTCAGAAGGCGAGGATGTGTGTTCGTCGAAAGTATCGAGTTGGTTCCCCTACTTTGAATGGGTGGTGCTGGGATTCCAATTTAGAAGGAATCTATTGGACTGGGAACTGAAAAGTTGGAGGAACTCACTTCGATCCTGAATAATGTTAGTATGGGCTCGTCGGTGGAGGACTGGAAACGGGGAAAGAATTTACTCGGTCAACTCTTGTGTCAAATTAGTGGTTGGGTTGTCTGGAAATGATCTGTTCTGGTTGAAGAATATTTGGAGTAGTCTTATGCCCCCAAGGGTTGAAATTTTTGTGTGGTAGGTAGTTAATCAAAAACTGACGGTTAAATCTGAATTAATAAGAAGAGGCATAAATGGGATTGTAGACCCCCTTTGCCCATTCTGTGGTTTGTTCACCACCTATTCTTTACTTGTAGTGTAGTTTGTGGTCTTTGGGTTCGGTTTCTATGGCTTTGGAATGTTTTTTCGATGGTTTCTAATTCGAAAAAAGTTTTCTTGGAAGCATGGCCTAGTTTATGTACAAAGTCTGTAATTTGGAACTTCATCCCTAGTGTCATCTTGTGGACCATCTGGAAATTTCAAAATTCCATCATCTTGAGAATGGGAAGCTGTATCAACCAACCTCTTCTTTTAGCTTGTTTCAGGTTGGTTCTTAGTTCTTGGCAAAGTTCCAAATTGTCATCTCTTTTGATTGTCTGGTGGGGAATCCTACTTGGCTGATTCTTGCCCTACCATCAAGGCCTTAATTCCATCCCCCTCCTTTGGTCTCCCCGCCCTTGGGTTCTTTAAGGTAAATGTTGATGGGGTTGTGAATAAAGATTAGTTGGGAAGTGGCATTGGTGGGCTACTGAGAGATGAATAGAGTAAGTTATCGGGGTCGTTTCTCCTATGCTGCTGGCCCAAGCCTCCAATTTTTGTTGAATTGAATATCATTCAAGCGGGCCTTTCCTTATTTGTAGAATCTAAATGGTGTGATAAAGGTAGACTGATTCTGGAAAGTGATAGTCCCATATTTTTGGAGTGGTTAAAAAATTTTGGAAATTGTCCTATGACTTTTTTAATTTTAGGTAAGGAATTGTGAATGTGCATTGGTTCGTAATGTGATCTTTAGACAAATTAAGTGTTCCGCGAATTGGGAGGCGGATAGGGTAATTAAAGAGTTTTGTGACTAGAGAGTGAGTGTACTTAGAGGGGACTTGCTTAGCTTCTGGTTTCTCAGCATAATTGTAATCTTGCTTTGTGTTGGTTCTAATGAATAAAATTTTGAGGTACTTTTCTTCCTTCTAATGGCCGTCGTAATACGATGGTTATTAAAAGGGTTTTTAATGAGACCTCTTCTCTTTATGAGAGAGAATGGATAAATCTTGCAAGTATTTTTATGGTTTATTTGCTTTTTCACCAAGACCTTGCACATCAGCCTATTGACAAAGTGAAGAGAGGTAACATGGTTAAAATCATGTCAAGCAAAACCTTGATCGAGAATGTGTAGATAAGTCTTTACCTATCTAGGATTATACGAAA